ATGATTCAGTAAATCAATTTTTGAATAGTTTACAAGAAAAATAAGTCGAAAACTCTTGCAAAACTTAATAATCTAAAACGCTTTATTACGTGAACTTCACTCACCTCTATGTCAATGTAAAATGTAAAAGAAAAAGCGTTTGCGTTGAAAAACAAATAAACATCTATTGAGTTTCACCTTATTTAAAAATATTTCATCGCTACGGGTCCAATATTGTCAGAACGGATTACTCAAAAAAGAAAATCCTTTCTCAATATAGTTTATTCAACTTTATCTAATCTAATCAGTATCATGTAATAGAAACTTTTCGTAATAACAAAACTAGAACGAACTGTGAGTTCAGTTCTATTCAATAACATCATAGAAAGTATATCGGCGTGTAAATATTCAACACTTGATTGTATAACTTAATCAACTAAATGATACAAACTTGACCTTGTTTACTTATCCAAAAATAGCTTTTCTTCTACTTATAGGATTATTGAAAATTGCATTGAATGCGAACTATTAATCAATTAAAGGGTGATCTAAGACACTCTTAATGACTAACACAAGTGACTGGAGCAGATTAGTAATCAGTAATATTTTTTACACTTTAGAGCACTTCAAACGTTCATTAGACGGAACTGTCAAGTCTAGTCTTTTTCTGTCAAGGAAACTTCATACATGATAAATCAATGTCGCATCAGTTCCTTATTAATTTTAAGTGGTCTTTTCTTTTTTTGCGAGGAGCTAGATTAAATGTAATAAATAAAATGACGCTCATTCATTATGTTTAGAATGCAACTTTGAACCTAGAACCGTTTTCGAGTAGTCATGGACAAGGCCTTTCAAGAAGAAAATGAGACAAAGACGTGCCGTCACGCCTGGAATAAAACAAAAAGAACTTGTCTTGTTTACTCATCCTTAGCTCACCTAAGTCAAAAAGAGAAAAAAAAACCCTAGAAATAATAATTTTAAATATTATGTTTATTATTTTTATTAAAACAAAAAACGATTGAGAATATAGACTGACAGATAAGAAGTATTTAATTAATATTTATTACTAAGTTTCTTTCAAATATTTTTTGCTTATAATGTAACCAATTGGCATTATTTTGTCATTTATTTGATCTAGTATAAAATGTAAATCTATTAATGACAAAGTTTTTCAATGATTGATTATATTATTTATGGAAACACAATCGTTTGAATATGGATCATTATTTTGTAGATTCGAAAAAAATAGAGAGAAAGAGAAATAGTATCATGATGATCGTATTTTCTTTTACATATAAAAGATAGTTATCAATGTGATCATTGATGAGCTAACTTTTGTCTGCTTCCATATTTGCAATTTCTAGAGAAAAAAAAGACAAAAATCTTACAATCCAATGGTCGTATGTGCGTAGAAAATCATTCATTTTTTCTTCTTCAGAATCGTTAGCTCATGTCGTTTATCGTTTAATTTCATCAAATGATTCTATCACTTTCTATAAGAATAGCTACTAAAGTCTCTCGACTCGATCAATCAATGTAGAACTTTTTTTCTTTATTTTCCTAACAGATTTGCCTTCTTGCTCTTCGTGCATTCTAAGGCGATTAAAGATGTGCACATCTATACGACTGTATATATATATATATGTAGCATATCGTCATTCAGTGATCACTATGTTTTTATTAGTAACAAGTGGCATGAAATGAATATAGCGATAAGAAAAAAGAAGACAATGCTATAAAAATTACTTTTTTATTGATCATTAATGAACAAAATAAGAAATAGAATACACAAGATTTTGCTACAACTAACATAAGATGATGATCGAAAAGTAATTGCGAGGGTTAGATTCTCATAACAAACGAACAATGATTGCGAAGTGTAGCTATGATAAATTGCATATCAGCAAGTATTTCGAATGTGTACTATATCCCTTTCACTTTGTTTTTTTTTGCTAATAGAAGCGAACAGTAGTTTTGAGTGTTGCTTGTTATATTGTGCTTTCTGTCACGTAATGAAAAGTAAGTACGTCATTTTTTTTAATTTCTGTTTTCTCTGCTATTTTTTCTTTCTTTTATTTATATTACCATGATTGTTTCTGCACACGATAATTTTGTCTTTCAATTCTTTCGTTTTCTTATGCCGCTCTCGGAAGTTGATTTATTACCAGGTGTTTGAAATATTTATTTGTTTTCCATTCAAGACATGTCAATGTATGTTTACTCATATATTGTATAAAACCGAGACATTTTTAGACAGAAAACATTCCGAAGGATTTCATAATTAGATTAGACAAAAAGACAACCTGTTTACATTTTTATTTTTACAACAGGAAATAAATTCTTAAGTAGCTTAACGTCATTTTATAAAAATGATCCCAGAAAATAATGATGATGATGTATTATTTAGTCTGTTTCATTTTCTGCAATAGTGAGATATACATATAAAACTCTGTTTATGAATTATATTAACCGAAAAAAAAAAAAGAGAATGATTCCTCAAAAAAAAAAAAAAATTAAGGTTAGCACAGTATCTTATCAATAAAAGTAAGTGCAACGGTAGACATTTTTTAGTAAGTAATAATTTTCTACTTTCAACATTGTTTTCGCTCTAATTTCTGCATGATTGATCTCAAAGACATCATAGTGATGCATATTTAGCATACAGACATTCATGCATTAGAATAGGGTGTCACTTTTCAGAGTTATTCATGTATGGGTATGCACCATATGGAGAATTTATTTCCTGGATTTTTTTTTATATAACGATATTTTTCATGTGTTCGCATTATACAGTAAAAATAAGAAAGAAAAATCTTATATCCAAAAATAAATCCGTTTCTGCTGGTATTTCATTGTTGAAAAGTTATTTCTAGGTTTAGATAATTTGTTAATAAGAAACCTTTGAGATTGTTATATATAATACTGTCTTTTAGTCATCATACATGTCTAAACTAACGAAGTGGAAAAACTAAATCAAGTATATACTTATTGCATGAATGCATTTTGAAAATGTAAGTAGTTTTACTTTCTTCAATACTTGTTTACTATTCTCGTATTTTCATTCTGAATATTTTGTTTTTCCTGCTTGTCAAGTCTGAATTTACTTCGTTAATACTTAAGAAATTTCTTTGATATTTATTTTATACACTAATAATACAAATTACAAAATCCGATAAAAGAAAATCTTTTGTTTTTCTTTGAACTAGGGTGACAATTAGAAAAATTAAAATATTAATAAGGTCGACTTTAGTGAAGAAGAAAGAAAAATGAAGTCAAGATTATGTTTTTCTTTCTTGAATCATCTAATCGAATAATTTCATTTCATTAGTTTTTAAATACGTTACAGAACACTGAAAAGAAGAAAAAAAAAACAAATTTCCCTAAATCAATTATCATGTATCATTTTTTCTATCTATTTATTTCGACAGTTAGTATTCTATTCTTATTTATTCTGTGTTTTTATATAGATAGATTAAAGTCAAATTCTGTGTTTCTTCAGAACAAAATTAAAATTCTCATTTTGTCCGAGGAAAATTAGAATTACACTAGATTTATATGATCAAGTCGACGACAACTTTTTCAACTGCACAAAACATCATCATGATTAAATAGGTTATAGTTCATATAATTTTAACCTATTGATCCGTAATCTAGCATGATCCTAGTTTAGAATGACATATGGTTGAACATAAAAACTTCTACCTTTTTTTACACGAACATTATTTTGTGACATATCTCCCATTAGAGTCGCTTGTGTGTCTATTTGTCGATTCACCAACACGCATATACACACAGAAAGTTTACACACTTCTTTGCATTTTCATGGCTTAAATTATCCGTAACAATTTATATTAATTTTTTGAACAGAATCATTTTAAATTGAGTAAATATTGAACAGTACAAAGGTTTTTATAATTTACCATATTGACAAACTAATTTTGTATAGATGTTTGATAAAACAATAATTTGTAAAATTGAAAAAAGCAAACTCATTGTTCGTTCAAACTTTAACTATCTTTGACCTGATAAATTCATTAATAGTACGAATTATAATTTCATCCGAACAAAACTGGATTTTGATTAAAGTCTAATTTCAGCCCTGACATAGACATATAAATGAGATTTTTAAACAAAAAACAAATGAACTAAAAATGTCAAGCGACTTCGGAAATGAGAAAAAAAACATGAATGCGATATACAGCTTGTCAACGTATGTGCTTATTCCCTAGCGTCAAATCTTTTTTTTTATACTTATTTACGATCAGTTACACTTGTAGTTCTTCTCTGTCATTGTTTTTTCATCTCTTTGATGACAGCTTTCATTCTAATGTCATCATCTAGATGACACAATGACGACATGTTCGTAAAAAAAAAATGAAAAACAATAGAATGATGATGATCATGATGATGATGATGATGAGGCTGAGGCAGACTATTGGTTTCATCCGGACCTATTTCGTCTTACTAAACTTGTTCTCTTTTTCTTTTTTTTTCCTTTTTTTGTTTTTTTTTTGAGAACAGTATTAATGTTGTTTCTTGTTTTAGTATTCTTTTTCTGTTACTTATATTTTCAAGAGATATATTTCATTTTGCCACCTGTTACTTCGCTGAATGATCCTTTTCAGAATTTATTTCACCAGGAGTGAGCAAGCAAGAAAGTGCTTTCCTGTCGTTCTTCCGTATATGCATGCTAGTATGAATGTAACTTATATGTCAGATGAAATGAAATGAGAAAATCAGTTAATGATTAACATTTGTTTAGATTGCTAGTATTTCTAATGTTGATGAGTTGTTATTATCGAAATAATAAGAAATAGTGAGAAAAATTTCATCATTATTTTACTTTTAATTTACTTTGCTTTATTTTTATTTTAGTATATATCCACATGAATTTTTTCATTATTGTTGGTTTATAAATAAACATAATTATATATTAAATTTGATATTATTATTTTTGTTCTTATAACTCATTCAGATATCTGAATGAAAATAACACAAAAGCCAAATATTGATAAATGAGTATGAATGATAACATACAAAGTTCCTTGGCGGATACAAATACATCGACAATATTTGTCGAAAAATTATTGCAAAAAATAACACTTGGTTGTTTGCTTTCTACTTTATCAATATTTACTGTTTGTGGAAATATATTAGTATTATATGCTATACAAACAGAAAAAAATTTACGCACAGTATCAAATTTATTTATTCTTAGTTTAGCATTAGCTGATTTAGCTGTAGGTCTATTTGTTATGCCTTTAAGTGCAGCTCATATAATTGCTGGTCGATGGCCATTTTCATCTGTTATATGTAAAATGTGGTTATCCATTGATTATGTTGCCAGGTATATTACAGCAAATATCTACTGAGACATATTTCTATAGATATATAAATAACAAAAAAAAAAAACCAAGAATTATTTACACAAATTTAACTAAAACAAAGAGAAATTTTTCTGTGAAATAAAACTTATTGTTTTTTTACTTTTATTTTTATAGTACGGCCAGTATATTTAATCTTGTTCTACTCAGTCTTGATCGTTATTGGGCTGTTGTTTATCCTTTACGTTATCTACGAAAACGTACACGTCGGCGAGCAACAGGATTTATTCTTATTGTTTGGTTTATAGCATCATTATGGGCTCCGGCTGTTATATTTTGGTCATATATTGCTCCTCAACATAGTGATATAATTAAAAGCAATGAATGTGACACGGCATTTCGTTCGAATAAAACATTTAAAACATTGACAGCTTTAGTTAATTTTTATTTTCCATTATTAACTATGATTATTGTATCATGTCGCATAATGGTTGCTATACGTTCACGTTCTCAAATGGAATATGGTCGACGATTATCATCAGCGACACAAAAACAGATGAGACTAGATCACACTTATAAAATACCATCATCATTACATGATGAAGATCAACCTAATTTCAAATTCAATAATACTTCTAGGCCATTATTACCACCAACAATTGTTACTAATCCATTTGATGCATCTATTCCAGACTATCAATCCATCTCTAATACTATTAATAATAATGTAACTCTAACGGCTGAACCTGGTCAATGTTTTTGTTCAACATGTCAAAGATATAATGGAAATGATAATGAAAGTCTTTGGGAAGTACAACAAACTCCCATAGGAGAATCTTCTTCATCGCCACCAAAACATTTTTCATATGCTCAAATAAAACCTCTATCAAGAATATTTTCACCAAAAAAACTTACAAAAGAAAAAAAAAGTCATAAAAGTCTAGATTTATGTAAAACTACATTTGATAATGATGATACACAAATTAGAAATTCTTTAAGTGAATCAAATGATATGAAATATTCAATGATAATGTATTCAAATGAACATTCACAAAAACATTTATCACCAATTGTAAAAAAGACATCATCGTTAAACAAAACACTAATTAAACAACCAAAGTCAAGAACATCATCAGTAGCATCAAGTTTCTCAGATGAATGTTTCGAAAAATTATATATTAATTCAACAGAAGATCAACAAATATCACAACCCATAGAAGATATGACTATGTAAATATGAAGATAAAAAAATTAGTTTCAAAAAGTTTTTATTCTTTTTCAACTATTTAGACAAAAAACAAAAACAACATCTGATCAATCACAACCAATAAATTCCTCTCCAAAACTAGCAACAACAACAGTAGCAGGAAACGATTCAATAACGACAATCATACATGATTCATCAAAAACTTCTCCGACACATCATACAACGAAAATGAGTTTCTCTTTTTTTAATACACTTCTAAATCCAAGTCGTGCCAATGCATTACAAAAAGAACTTAAAGCAGCTAGACAATTGGGAATGCTTGTTGGTGTATTCACTGTTTCATGGTTACCATATTTTATTTTATTTTTAGTTGTTGCTTGGTGTAATCATTGTGTATCGGATACTATATTTACAGCATCTATATGGCTTGGTTATCTCAATTCAACATTTAATCCATTAATATATCCACTATGTAATGCACATTTTCGTCGTGCTTTTCAAAAAATTTGTTATTGTACACATGAGAAAACAAAATTACCTAATTTAAACGCTTTACGTGAACTGCAAGCATTACATACGATGAGACAAAAGCGACGATAAAATCTTGCGTTCCTTTATTATTGTTTTGTTTTCTTGTTTTATTATTAATATTTTATATATTCTTTGGATATGTCACATTTTTGTTCTTTTTTTTTTTCGTTCATTTTCTTTTTGAATGCTACATGTGATTTTTATGTAGAAAAAAGACAGTTTTATGTTTCACTAGGGAATTACATACCAATAATCTAGAAACATGAAAATAATATTAACTATGATTGAAGTCTATAATCACGATGTGAAATTCTACAAAGTAAATCAGATTAATATTAACCTGTACTTTAGATTTTATAACAGACTGTATACAATGATAGTTATTATAAAGGACAGAAGTTTTTCAACTGAAATAATCATTGCATACATCAACAAAGTAGATTGATCTCAAAAAATTGAAGGAATAATCAAGTTCGATATGAAACATTAATGCATCAATGTTGGACACATTTATATATGTCTATGGTAATGAGTTTTGACAGCGCATCTGTCCTTGATTGAATAAAAAAACAAAAAACAGAATCTATATATTGCATGATGTACTAAATCAGAGTTAATCTAATTAAAGAAATAGATGTTATAATCTTTTTTGTTTAATTATTGATAAATGTTTTTTTTCTCGATTTTAACTTTATTGTCAAATGAAAATAAAGACTAATGACCAATACATAGTATCTGATTTCTAATATAAAATTATCAATTTTTGTTTTTGTTAATAGTTGTTATAAATAAAATTATTCATCAATTTCTACAGATTTCATTATAATTAATACGGAAATCTTTTGAAAAATACAATATATATATAGAGATATAGATGATGCAGTAGAAGTGTAGGAAAACATTCGTTTTTATTTCGTTGTTAGTGTTATAAATCAGTTTAACACCCGAACTCTTACAGTGAGTAGACAAAAGACAAAATATTAGATTTACAATTTGAATATAAATTAATATAGACTTGATAATTTAAACTTGTATCATAAAAAATGAATCGTTTCTATATGAATTAAATGAAATGGAAATGCTTTCATTGTTATTTAACCATAGTTTCAATCCTCACAGAAATATTCTTTAATAGAAAATAAAAAAAACTCATTTTATGAAGCATAACTTTTTTTTCTTTTCAAGAAAATTCGTACCGTTAATTTCCGCGCTTTTCTTTCTATTCAATTTTTGCGTGAATTGTTGTTGTCATGATAAGATTCATATAATATACTGAAGACAATCCAAAAATAGTGGCGGAGATACTTTGTTTTCTTATAGAAAATTTGAAAGAATTTTCTTTTTTCATGACGTGATAAAGAAAATGACACTCTATTTTTCTATGCTATTTGATCACTATTCAACTAACATCATAATAATAGAATTTTGAAAAGAACTGTTTTTGTTAGCAACTAGCTGGTAGCAATAGATCATAACGGGTGGAACACTTTTACATTTCACTTTGTTATCACTTGACATGTTCTATTAAAAAAACAAAATACACTACAAGATGTAGCGTGAAAAGATGTACAATTTACAAAGAATAATAAAAAAACATGACATAGAAAGAAACCGAATTCGTCTTTTACCAAAAAAAATCTCTTTCTTGCAACGTAGAAATTTACGCTCTCAGAGTTTTGTTTATATTGACAACAAAAAGTGCAACTGTAAACTATGCAGTCCTTTATAAATTGTACAGTTTTTCACGCTGCATCTTGTGGTATATATTTTTTTTTTAATAAAACGTACTGACTGATGATAAAATGAAATGCAAGTGTCTTATTTTTTACGCCACACTCATTATGATCTAATGATATCAACTAGTTTTCAACAAAAACAGTTCCTATCAAAATTCTATTATTATGATATTAGTTGAATAGTGATCAAATAGCATAAAAAAATAGAGCGCCATTTTCTCTATCACGTTATAAAAAAAAAGAAACTTTTTTCAAACTTTCTATAAGAAAATAAAGTATCTTTGTCACTATTTTTGGATTACTCTAAATAAATTTTTAAATACAATTCTTCAAAGTGGTTCATAAACAGTTTTAGGATTAAAAAAAAATTGAATATATTCATTCTACAGGATATGCTCAAAATTCGAACGAAAAGGGATCTAAATAATGTTTTTACAATTTGATTCCATATTCATTAAAATAGGTTTATTTATGATCAAAGTCAAAAAAGCCGGCATTGTAAAACAGTATCTAAAAATTGAATTTGAAAAAAATACGTCAACTAAACATTGCATTCCAGTAATTTTGTGAAACTATTACTATTGAAAATCAATGACTACAGAGCAATTACTAAAGAAAAAGTTGATGAAGTTAATGACGCTTGTAGAATGAACCAGGATCAAGTATTCAGTCTATGTAACTCTTCTTCGTAGAAGTACCTCATATGGCTTAAATAAGATATGTTCTGTCATAATTCGCTATGTTGCTGTTTGTGTTAATGAACAAGTTTAGCTTGTGCAATAAACTGAATATTTGTTCCCGGCTCATTTTCACAAGTATTCTTAATTTCATTGACTTTTTCTTCAGTGATTCTGTTAGGTCTTTCAAAATATGATTGATTTTCGACAATATCAATTTCATCAAATCTCTGAAATATGATTCAGTTGGAATATTTTTGCCGAATTCGAGTCGTAGACTTCGCTTTACAAACACTTTATCTGAAAACTTTAATGAATATATGATCAATCTATTTAAAAAAATATACAAATCCCATGAATGGCTGAGGAGCTATTCATTTTTGTTTTTTTCGTTCGAGCTTTTTGAACACCCTTATGAGACTAATTTTTTTCCCATGATAGTAGAAACTTTAGCTTTTTTTTTCATAAGAACGCCATTTGTAAATATTGCTTTGATGTATCATCATTGGTTTCAATAATGAATTACGATTTTTTATAATATTAAAGATAATATTAACAGATCCATGTGTAAATATATTTGCCGTTCGACGAATATATTCGATCGTGTGTTTTGTTGTGCAATGCATGATCGTTTTTATCTCTTGTCGTCGATAGAAATATCTGTCATTTCTTAAGTACAATGAAATCAAAGCAAAAGTTACTTTGACTATCCTTGCTGATACTCGTTCGTATAGAAGGTTTCAAAAAAATATTCTTCAAAATTTTAGATTCATCCTATGACCCGTAACGCCATAAAGTTCTTATGAAAATAAAACTTCTGAAGTCTTCTCTGTTACGAAAAAGAAATTAATTCCATAGAGTCGAGATATCCAAATACACTACATTCCACAAGAACGTTGAGATAGTAACTCTTTGACAATGAAGATACAATAGAGTAAAACAGGCGTTTTCAATATTTGTTGTGTTCTGGCATAGATGCCACTTTTGATAGTATTGCATCATTAAATCAAGTCTAAGTGCAAGAAATATGATCGTCAATAATTTTCAAAGTACATCATCGTAACAACACATTTTTACTTCATCTGTTCTAAATATAAGTCCGTTTTGAAAGGGTTCAGAAGACTCTCTTTTCTGGATATTTTAATCAACATTTTTTGGATATTTAGTTGTTCACTGCTAATATCGCTTCAAAATGTTCTCTGTCAAATGTAATATAAACTAGCACTCTTTATTTTTAGTTAGTATTTTTATTAAATCGAATTCTCGAAATCTCTAGCAGAAAAATCCACGCTGCGATTATTCTTTGTGTGCAAAATTTTTCTAATGATAACGATTATTTCTCATTCCTTGGGTGCTAAGATCATAGGTCATGGACCACTAACATTGCTGAGCACAGTCAGATTTTAATCACTTTAGTTAAAGAAAAAATTTCTGATACATACAGGAAAATTTTTTTTCGTTTTTTTTCGAGACAAATTTTTATACAAAAAAAAAATGCAAAATTGCTTCCGTTTCTCCGACATAGTACACTAGATCAAGTTGAAACTTCTTTTTCTTTTGAAAAAAATTGCACTGTTGGTTTTTGGCAGCTTTTACCAAAAAGATTATAGGAAAAAAAACATGTATTTTTGAAGATACGCTCAATATTTTGATCTCTTTATTTGAATAGAAGAAATTAAAAAGAAACCAAAATAATTGGGTACCCCAAATAGTGTCGAATACCTGTAAAAAAAAAACTTCAGAGCTGTCGGACTTATTGCGACCGAGAAAATAGAGTGAATTTTAGCCTTTGCAACCCAAATATTTTCTAATAGGAAGTATTTGGAAATTTGGAATTTCTGATTACTTTTGGTCTACTTATAGAAATCCATTTATTTGTGAAAGTTTCAAATATTTATGTTGACCCGTTCTTCATAAACCCCTAAAGGATGTTGTACTTACAATTATCATATGTAATTCTTCTTTAGATACTTTTCGTTTAATTGTATAAAAACTTTATTAAGCAAACAACATAATTTTCTATCTAATGATATGAACTTTAATAGTTTCATAGCTGAATAGTTTTCGTAATGACGTTCATTTCAACTAATCTTCAAAAAGGATTGCAGTATTTATAACTAGAAAAATACAAGGCAAAAGGAATGAAGAAGAACACAATACATCCTCTAATGATACTAAATGGTCGCTATTCAAATATTTTAAGTAAATGACGGCAAATCATTTTGAAAAATCTCTTATTCCTGTGACATAATACAAATAATCTAGAATTAAATGTTAACACTATTTGTAAATCCCAATATCAAATATCGTTAATAAATGAGCTATACAATTTTAATTCTTCTAATATCATCCTTGGCGGGCTATTCTATTGTAAACATATCGTTAGTTAAATGCATTGTGTACTTGTATTTCTTTGTTTGTCTCTCTCTCTCTGATCACAAATATCAAAAAGCATAGACGTCGTCAATTTGTCCGTCGGCTATTCGATACGAAATCTATCTATGTCAACACTATACTAAGCAACTTTAATGTTCTTGGCTTTCGACTATTGGCCAAAATAAGGTCACAATTGTGAAAATAAAAAAAAAGAGAAAAAGAGAGAAATGAGAGACATATATTTATGTAAAGGCGCGTTAAACTGTTCATTCGATTGTTA